CTGTATAATTACGTTTATTGATTCTTCCTTGTGTTGCAGGCTTGTGTCTTCTATTGATGCCATTTTTTCTTGTCCTTAAAAATAAAGTATTAGAGCAGCAGAACTCTCTCCAAATGACAAATGAAAGTCAAATGACCTTGGAATTAATCAGCAGCCCTTTTGGATGCTTAAGACATCTAAGACCAAAACTGCTTGTTGGTATTAGGAAACAAAAAACCAACCAAACAAAAAGCAGTTAGAGAAATTGGCTCTTAGGACAATAAAGCAGCCCTTCTTGAGCTTTGCTGCAAAATTGTGAGCCGCAGCTGTGCCACTGAGTCACATTCAAAGGAAAAGATGAGCTGGGCAAGTATTTACACAGAGGTCCAGGATTTGGAAGGACTATACATTGTGCCTGCTTTGTAGCAGATTTTTTTTGTTTTTAGGAAAAGTTAAAGAGAAGCTTTGAAGAGCAAATTCCTTGTTGATTTGGAGAGCTGAAGTCTTTTCCCAATGAATGTTGGAGTTTATCTTTAAAAAAGAAGTAAATCAAAGGTCCAAATTCACCCCTTGTGCCAGTTCTCCAAGGCAACAGAATGACACCTAGAAGGAGTTAAGGTTTAAGATGGCAGCATGAAGGACAAAATTCTTGACAGTCTTCAGTTGTAGATGGCAGGGTCATCACTGCTTGTCTGTGGTTCACTCCTCTTTACAGGCCATACGAATGCTGTTCCAGTTCTCATCATGTGCATAAAACTCTCCCTTTACTACACATCTCTGCCATGCTGTGACACTAACGGAGGACTGTATGAACAGAGATCCAAATCCTAGGGCAGAAGTTGGAGGTGAGAACGTGACTCCTGGCTCTGCCAGAGACTTACCTTCTAAGCTTAGTCAACACATGAGCTGTTTGTACTCACAGTGAGTAACACCTTGCTCTAGAAAGAAAGGCATGTGGTCAGTCAGTGTGTTTACTTCATGAGATGGTTGGACTTGATGATCTCAAAGGTCTTTTCCAACCTGAATGATTCTATGATTCTATGTTTTACTAACAAACCCAAGTATCAACCAATATAACCAGTCTTTGTGAGTCAAATGTGTCAGGGCTTAATATAAGAAGTAAGTTTAGAGACCTACTTAAAGTGTTTTGAGATTTGTGGTGGGAAGAGTGTGATGAATACAAAACTGAGCAATGGGTTGAAGTACAACAGGATCCGAATACTTAGATAGCACTTGAGCTATAAATCTATTTTTGGGATTTCAAAAGTCATAGCAATTCACTGCCCTGGCCATGGAAGTTTGGACACTTTTCTGTACTCCTTTGATGTGTTTGTCCTAAGTGGAATAAACAATTCCGTGATTTCTCAAAGGAAGAATACTTTTTTTTCAGATCAGATTAATTTCGAAGTCAAAAAGGTACAAATATGCTTGAATTTGCTACTAGCGAGCACCTGCTAACTTCAAACCATGTCCTTCCTTCAGGTTGATCTAATTCATGAATGTGTTTTGAGGTGGCAACATTTCCATATAGACAAGGACTAAGAAAATACAAAAAAACCAACGTGGGAATATTGTGCAGGTATAAGTGGACGAGAACTTAGGCTGAGATTTCTAGCAAGAACATCAGTGAATTAATTGCTTAAAACCACACTGAAAGTTCCAATTTTAAAAAACAAAGGCATTTTAACACCAAACTGCTCTGATAACTAGTTCAGCAGAAAAGGTAGTAATAATTATTTTTTGCTATGAATAAAGTTAAGTACAGATAAAAATAAATAACAGAGAGCCTGTGAATGTTAACAAACCTCACAGCTACCTTTTAGAAATAATTTTGCTTTTAAAATGTGCTAAGATACTAAAGGAAAAACCAGAAAGATTAGGATGTAAATGCAGGTAACGTCTTGACGATAGGAATATATGGCAGTTCCATCCGGCTGAAATAGATCTGTATTGAACCTTACCAAAAATCTGTAGGGGGCAATAAGTCAAAACCCGGAATTTCTGGGACTCCAAAAATGCTCAGATTTATTAATATTAATAGGTTAAAGGGCAATCCAGGTCAAAAATAATTTGTTGCCTGCAGAACAGAGGCTCATGCTGATTATGTAACAACAAAAGATGCAAGTCTTTATACAAATTATTGTTGGGACCTTGGACTGTGTTCTGAATAATTAAATATATCAAATAATGCCATATACATATTATTTCCAATACCTGACATTTAAATTTGATTGTAATAAATGTTGGTGTCTCAACAGTTTTACAGAATAATCTAACCAGCCAGCCATTCTCCCTCCTCCAGAAGTTTGATATTTTGATGAAAAACATTGATAAGTATTTTTTAAACTTTTTTCTTCTCCTTTTTCACTCATCAAAACCTGATTTAAATTATCCACCTCTTGAAGGAGAGTACCACAATTAAATTGCTTTACAGTACATTTTCATGTGGCAAATCTGCCTGACAGTCAAACTTTTAATTTTTTTTTTTTCCTGGTTTCCTTTTCTTTCCCTCAGTTTGTGTAATAGAAAAAGCAGAATGAGTGAGTTTCCTTTTCACTTTTAATCATGGTTACCTACTTTCACACTCAAGTATTTCATGTTCAAGAACAGTTCCACAATGTTTCTGTCAAAAACATTTCTGAGGATCGTTCATTTGATTTTAGCACTTCTCCAGAGGTGTTGGAGTGAAAGATTCATTCAGGTTTTGTTAGGCACTCAGCTAATCTTAGTGTGTTAGGGAGATGGAGTCCCATGGAGATACACCTGTTTCCGTCAGTGGCTAGAGGGTACCTAGATAGCACTGAAGTAGGTATCTAAGTTATATACCTATCGTGAGCAACAACAAATCTGGGCAAAATCATAGGATTTCTTTTTTTTCCCCTTTTGTAGATTTCCTTATGCAAGCAAACAGGGACTCACTAGCTCCTAGTGTGTTTTCTCACTAGGATGGCAATGTCAGGATGGCTGACCTCAAGAGGAACAGCTTCATGCTAGAAGTGCTCCATTTCCTTCCATGTGTTTGGAAAGCGAGGTTGATCTTGTTAATTCAGTCTGACTCCTACATCGCGACTGTAAGCGCCCTCGGATGTTTGTCATAGTCTCTAGGTAAGATGTAATGCATGTTAACTAGTTCTAGAAAGCTATGACGTAGACACGTGTGGATGAGCGCTTTTGTCCTTGGCTTCCTTTACACCTAGGTGAGAAAATTACACACTTTCAGGGCGTGATTCGTCTCTACTTTGAGGTGGGATAAACCGCACACTTTAAGTGCCTTTTTCTCTCCACTGATTATAGGGAGAGGAGGGTGATTAATCCAGTTGTAGTCACGTATGAGGCAAAATGCCACAGTTAGATTCCAGTTATTACCTGTGGAGAATGACAGGCCCTTTCCAGATGATCCCTTCTATCTGTCCTAGACACTTGGTGTGCAAGTCAAGTGGCCACCTACAGGTATCTAGTGCTGTATTCTGGGATATTGCAGCTCCTTCTCCAGGTGAGTGTAGTTCTAAGGTTTCACGTCATATCTGTCAAAACTCTGTAGCTGTCTCAGGTACCCTAAACCATCTCAAATGGCTCTAAACACTTACACGTGGACAACTATATTGTTTCCTACTGAAGAAAGAGACGAATTGCCCCTTGGAAGAAAAGGTCTGATTCTGCTGATCTTAAAAGGAGTTTAGATGGCCAGCATAATGCCACCTTGTAATATCCATCCTTCCTAACTTTCTTAATAAAGTGACGTCAAAGAAATAAGAAATTGAATGAAATAAAAGTCTTGTTGAAGAAGAAGTTAGAATGTGGCTGGAAAAAGCCACTTGGCTCAAAGAGGCTTAAGCTCAAAGTATGTCTGCTATGTTTTCTGTGTGAGGATGTGCGGTAGGTGGTAAAGTAATATTTCAAAAGTACGTTAGCAAGGTTATTACCACTTAGCTGCTGTGGACTAAGCCAATTTGTCTTATTTGTCATTTTGGTTTTATTTTATTTTCTTTTCAGTAAGTGAGTGGATTCAGTTAGACCTCTGCACCTCAGCTGGATTCCTAAAGAAAATAAAGCTGCAGAAACAAGCTGTTGAAGAAAAGAAAGCATCATAAAATCAAGGCAACACAAAAGGTGATTCCAATTGCCTGCATTGATCCTGTTGAACAGAGACCCAGGTATGGCAGACTGCAGTGTTGTGGGACCAGGGGCTGAGAAGATAGAGGACAGAAGCCCATGCTGTCATTTAATCTGAAGTTCACAGAGAGATCAGGGCTCTTATTGAAAGTATCAAGTTTTTTTTTCATTTTAGTCTGCCATGCTCTTTTCCCAAAAGACACCATGGCTGCTGCTTGAATGGTCAGGACAGATTCCCAACAGGTTCTGGCCTCGTTCCAGTGCAGCTTTATTGTACATTCCCCCGTGGGGATGAGCAGCCCCCACCACTGAACAGTTCATTTGTCCCATGACCCAACAATTCCTCTTTTGCCAGGTTTCCATATTGTTTTCCCAATGGTGAGTAGATCAGGCATTTCCGATGGATCAGAGGAAGCCCTTCTTTCAATCTATCCAGCATGCAAGCAAAGTCAGGATGCTGGAACTGCGTGTCCCACAACAGATGCACCGGCCCTAACTCTGCTGCCGGAGAAGAAAGTGCTTCAAATTTCATGTGCCACCTCAGCCAAGTCCAGAAGTGCTTATAAGAAACAGTGTTAGTGTATCATTCAGAACAATCAAATACTACGTGCACGAAAAAGTAGTTAAGAGCAACATAAATTTTAAAAAAGTGACAATTTCATCACACAATTACTGTACACTGCTGTTCTTAGGGTTGAATACTTTCCTCTCTCACGCTCTCTCTTTCTCTCTCTTTTAATCTTTCCTTTTTTATTTTCTTTTTTTTAAATTATTTTTTCTTTTTTTTTTTCCTTTTTTCCCCCTTTTTTGGATTTGGTCCACTGGAGATAAATTGCCCTCAATGATATATATATTTAAAAAAAATATCAGCAGCAAGACTCTCTTGAAATAGATTCTGTTTGATGTAGCTAGTCTGTCTTTTCTGTTTTGCCCTCTTTCACAGCAGCCTCTGAAGTTTTCCGCAGGGGGGCTTTCTCCGAGTTGGCGTGTCCTTGGCCGGATTCCGCCGCTCCTCCGTTTTTGTGCGATGTGTGCTTTTCCAAGTAGTTCAGCATTTCACTGAGAACAGTTTGGAAAGTGCTTAGGGCAGCACATATTGCAGGAGTTCCAAAACCATGAGTGATCAAACTACAAATAGGAAGGAGACAGAAAAAGAAATACGCAGATGCACATAAATATAAATGCACTCACATACGTTGAAGAGCTTAGAGTACACTCATTTTGCTATAGTGAAATTCAAGATTTGCTCCCTAAACTATTTATTACCTATGGGAGAAACAGAAAAGAGCCAAAGAGCACACTACATACAGCTTCAAAGGTTGGTTTTGGTAGAAGTTTCCACTCTGAAACACCATGGGACAGATTCTCAGCTGAGGAGGATTGACACAGAGTTATTGACTTCAGAGAGACCAAGAGAGGATCCACGCACTAAGCTCTCCAGCATTGTTACTTTTCCAGTTCCAGAAGGTTTGAAACCCCCTTTCTCAGGTAAATAAAACCAGTTCTATGTGGTTTGTTCACTTCTAAATCAGACTCTTGAACAAGCTCTGGTTATTCTGCGTGGATGTGTGACTGCATCTATACTAGGAAATTAAGCCATGACAAGGGTGCAATCTCTGACCCTCAGCACAATCGGCATGGCTTGGCCATGTCCATGCTGCTAAGCCCTCTGAGCGTCCAATAGGGTGGAATCTTAACTGTTTGTTGAGAATAGTCCCTGGCCAATGCTAATGCCCAAACAACGCCCAGGCAATGTTTGACACATGGCTAGTTCAGCCAGGCTAAAGTCTAACCAATTGATGATAAAAATAGCCAAGTTCCAACAATGCTGCCAAGCAGAGCTACAGCGAATTAATCTCATCTCAGTTTAGAGGACCATTTCAGTGCACACATACATATCTACAGCCACTTGAGATGTTTTGGGCATCCAGCCTGGCTTCCACGTGCAGATCCAGAAGTGTGCAGGTTTCCCACAGGTCCTGGTCTCTTAGATATCATGTCTGAGGACCTCTCATCTGTCTTAGGATATCAGAAATGGCACTAGAGACCAACTTTTAGGCAACTGACTTCAGTCCTATCTGCCTAAATACTACATGTCCAGCGTAAGATGCTCGTGTAAGGGCCAAGGAAACTCAAGTTGTACTAGACACCTTATATTCAAAAAAATTATTCTCATTGTTATAATGATGCATTTTGATAAGTTCTAAGTGAAAAGAACCCAACAAACAATCCAGGTTTTTAATTTTCATTTAGAAACATAATTGTAAATATATTTCAAAGGTTAAAATGTCACTATAGTTTTTAAAAGACTGATTTCAGATATCCCAATTCTGCTCAGGGCAGAGAGAAGACAAGGAGAGGAACAGAAGCTGATTTCTGTGTTTGTGGACATTTTTGGGAAATCAATACTTTATATTGGTTTGCGTGAGGAAAAAACCATAACAAAACATTACAGGGATTCTGATAAAACAATAACTATTTCCCATCCCACGCTAATTGAGATCTTGTCCCTGCAGTAACTTTCTGGATGTCTTAGGCATCAAACCGGTAAACCCTGCTCTAATGCAGAGACTCACACGTAAGTCAGAATCCCTCTCCTCTGCACTTTGGCTTCTCAGTCTTTCCAGCTGTTTTAGAAAACAGTGAAAAAGTAAGGACCAAGCAAAATAGAGGACACGGACAATTGCCAGGATGCTGGAAGTATATAAAAAAATGCCATGGGAAAGACTCCAAGATATCTTTTAGGGTCATCTTTCTGTCTGTTGGATAAGGGAACCCTGTTTGTTAGGAAAGCTGGTATCCTAGGGAAGAAAGCAACTATATGGGAGTCCTAACCAAAATGAGAGCTCAGTTTAGGAATATCTCTCCATTTCAGATTGGGAATGGCTTAGGCTTTTATAAAAGATCTCATAAAAGCTATTAACAAATAACTTGCTTTTAGAAAGTTTATCCATCAGTCTTCAGACACTTTTAAAACAGGAATTTATGTTTAACCCCAGTTAGTAATAAGAGGAAAATGATAATTAAATATTTACAAGGAATGTTTTGCAGACATCAATTAATAATACCATATGACTTGAAATTTGGACTCTTGAAGTTTGCACTTGTAGTAATAGCTGCATCTTTTAAATTTAGCACTAAAAAGAGGTTTTCAGAAATGTCTGGCATACCAGGAAGATAAAAATCATCATCATCATTAGTCATGTTTTTAATAGTAGTAAAAACAAGATTAGCAGTAGCATACAGAGTATTTTTAGCTCTTTCAAGTCCTTGTAAGAGTCAGCTGGTTTCAAGATTTTGTGTTGCATTTTATCATCATTTCCAGTCTTCATAAATCCAGAGAATTGAAAATGTGATAGAGCTTACAATAACAGAAAGCTAGAAAAAGAAGTTCAAATGTATCATTACTAGTTATAATATCCCATGATTTTTACACTGCTTGTGTGATCTTCTGGGTTTTGATTTGGGAAACTGACTATACCAAGACATATATTTATGATCTTGCATGCAAAAGAAACTAGTTCATCTATTTTAAGAGTTTGCAATATCTGCAATGATTCATTTCCACTAGATGCAAATAGTAAGTTTAACAAAGGTTCTATGTTATAAAATGAATAGAAAAGAAATCTTCTGGCCTGCTGTCTTTGAACCTTTCGACTCCTGAGCAAAAGGAGTAGTTCTGTGTTCATTTGATGGCTCAATACACCCTGAAGAGGAAAGTGGGAACACTAAAGTGGAAACTTACAGAGACTGTCTCAGAAATGATCTGTAGGGCTAAGAACAAGGGTGAAAACTTTAATGTTCTCAAATGCCGAACAACACTGCATAAAATATCAGAATGGGACAAAATCTGATATTAAAGTACATAAGTGTAAGTGTCAACTTGTAGGTGTGTAGATCAATAGTCCATCAAACCAGACTCAATGTAGTTTTGTACGTATAAGAGTTTACAGTGATTTTAGGTGTCCTATGATATCTGAAACATCTGCACAGATTTTCTAGATATGACATAGGACTTAAGTCTACCTTGCTTCTAGATGTTTTGATACTGGGTAGGTTGCCCTTGTGTATCTCACATGTCACTAGATGCCGATGTTTAGGCAACAAAATTGAGCCCTGGGGCTTTATTTAATACAGTCAGAGAAGTCTAGAAAATGAGTCAGCATATGAAATGGGTGTATCTCCTTTGTGGTGAGCTGCACCATTCTTCTGGCCACACTGAGGTGTCCATCATGGTGAATAAAAATGCATGGTCAGTGCTATTTGAGATGCCCCATGGTAACAAGACATCTGGTTCAGGTGAACAAGCAATGCAGAGGGCTTACAGGAGAACAGCACACTTTTAAAGCAGCATTGGACTGATGACATACCTAATAGCATGTAAAAAGATGCCTTATGCTACTGTTTACTCAGCTATATCTTATCCTAGATCTTCATTGACTACATGGGAAGCTTAGACATCCAGCTTATATTAAAACACCTAGATATGGGTATTTTATCTTGAGCAGAATTTCAAACTTCTGGTCTGAAAACTATTGTTTATAGCAAAAGGATTTTCTGGGGTGAGTTAGGTGTCTATCTCTTTTACAGTTTAGCCTTTTATGTACCACTAATCATCAAACATGGCAGTTTTTTCAAGGTAGCATTGTATTTCTTATAAAAAAGCCAACCTTTTTTTTTTTTAGTTAAATGGCTTTGCAGAGTCTCGTATGGCAACTCTGCTTTCAGTTCCTGATGAATATATTCTTCTCCACAGATGGGGATATGCAGACCCTAATAATTTTCCCAGGAAGCTTATTGAGAGAAACCATTTTACGGAAAATTTCTGACCAGTCCTCCTTGCCATGCTCCTGTGAGGGTGTGTATTTTTAGCCTGACTTTATATAATGAGCATAAAAAGGCTCAGAGACATTAACTCCTACTTTATTTTACATTTTTATCAGTAATTTCCCTTGCTCTAATTTTAGTGGACTTCATCCCTCTGCAAGTTTAAAAAAATCTAAGGAAGCTGGATAATATCTCTTTGCTGATGAAAATAAGTTTCAAGTTGGGGAGAAAATCTGATTTTACATTTAAATCAGACACAACAGACAGAAGATTAACGGCAATGCATTCAAAAGTGTTTCCTGAAAGTCAAATCTAGTTGGCTGATTTTTCAGACTAACTGAGCTCCCACGGAAGTTGGTTCATTTTTGGTATGCTCCACACCTATGAAACGAGTTTCTTTCATTGTAATACTTTCATTTAGGTTTAAAAGACTAAAATTAAACATGGTGGTTTCATAATGGAGTCTTCTGGGTATTCTCAGCTTTGTAGTGCATCTCATTGTAACTTCTATAAACTAGTGACTTTGTTGTTCTAAAAGGCAAGGCTAAAATCTCTGATTTTGGTACTGTGCATGGAGAGCTGTAGAAAGAAGGCAATGAATATCAGGCCAACATGTTATAAATCCTTATGCTTAAGGACATCCAGACCTGCCTGAGATTCTGCCCAGCGCTATGATGCAATTATGTCTGCTCATGTTTTAATGATGGCCTTACTTAAAAATGAAAAGATCCAACTGTGCCTGAAGGCTTGGACTCTCATTTGGCAATTACCTCAAGGACTCCTCCATACCCCAGGCTGGTGAAACCCCGACACGCAGCAAAAGAAGCAGATTCCCTCTCAGTGGGGAGGAAGAGGCCATCTGCACTGAATGTTCACACCCTCATTTAAAATAAGTAAACACTTTGAAACAATAATAATGAAGAAAATGCAAGCTTAAACTTATTGGTCAAACTTTCTCAGAACTTCGAAAGTGAAAATCACTTCATGATTATCCAAATTTAACAACATGTGGCAGATGACAAATAGTATCTGATAAGATTTTTGATGTCTCTAAAGGAAATTGAAAATGATTTGAACCTCTTCATTGATACAAGTAACATTGTAAGTTAGGGGTACCTATATTGACATTAAGGTGTTTCTGCTGATTTCAAAGTCTGTCCTGAGAAGATTACCTAGAGAATTAAATTGTTATACCTTTACTTCAAAAGGTCAGTAGGCCTAACCATGACACAAGTTAAGACTGATGGTCAAGATAAACACCGGAACATGACCAGTATCAATTACAGGGATGAGTACTCTAT